AAGAAAAAAGTTTTCTTTACATTTCTTTAAAAAATCTCTACATTTACTATTTGAAGATTTTATATATAAATCTTGTATAACCTATGTTATATAGCTCTCTAGATAACTGGTGAATCATCTATTAAAGAATAATTAGCTAGATTTAGATATTAGAATAAGATTATTCAAAATTAAAATTAGATTAGCTTAAATGATTATAAAAGTAAGATTAAGATATAAGTTTAGTATAATTATTAAATAAAAATCAGATTTAGTAGCAATATGAAGGTAAATTATTTGAGTTAGAGCTAGATTATTGTTTGCAGTAGTTTTAAAATTATAACTATATATATATATAAATAAATTTATTTATATTAGGATTATTGATTTTTAAGAAATAAATATTTTTAATATCTGATTATGAAACCTGATTCATAGTTTAGTAAATTTGTAAATTTATTAGTTGATATACAAATCATCTATCATATAATTGACTTGCAATATTGCAAACAAAATTTAACAAAATCTCAATAGAATTTATTTTTTTTTTTCGGTATTAAGATGAGGTCTTGCCTTGTATTTTTATTAAATGTATCGAGTTTTTGCCTTATATAGCTATATATAATCTTAAAAATACAGATTTAGACAATTTATCTATAACCTAAACCTACCAGAGTATACTACGTTCCTATCACGTATTGGGTTATATCTGGATTTGGTGTTCAGGCTATATCTAGTTACCCACCATATTCACCCTATGTCTTACCATCAAACCTTGATAACTCCCAAATTGGTTTCTTTAGATAATCAGTCTTTAATAGCCTTCAATTTGGTGTGCCTGTTATTCAAAGTATTTTCTAAACTGGTATACTCCTTCTATTAGGTAGTCTCTCGTCCACATTGCACTGCTCAGTTCTGTGATACTCCCCATTGAAGTTGGTCATATCATATCATCTGCTGGCTTGCATTCCTTCATACAACAACTTAATGTTACATGAATGCCCCAAGCCTTCTACTTGTTTCCCCAGGTATACTAGCCTTGTATCTTAAGCCAGACCTTTGCTGCCACCACCTGGTTTGCCGTTTCCAGGTCTTAACATTTTCCTAAGTTGTCTGATACAGTGTACTTCTTTACTACCCCTTTAAGTACTTTCTTATATGGTGTTCGAGCCATTGGCTATTCGATTTAGCTTTAATGATCTATCTTGTTAAAGACCAGCCTAACACCACGAAATTACTTAAGTGGCAAGCTAAATCATCTCTAGCTATTTCTAGTTAGTTTCACTTTTGTCATAGACTTCTATATAGGTGTGACCAGAGCTTCGAATTGGTATCTTTAGACGTACAGGAGTAGGTTATATTCTCTACGCCAAGTAGCCTTTTATAGTCATTTCACTGTGCCAGAGGTGTTTCCAATTCTAGTTAGGATATAATCCTTTACTACAGCCCATTGTTGTATATCACCGCTTTTTCTACTACTTCAGTTTTTGGTAGTATGATATCACCTTTCTAAGCAAGTATCTAATGCTATTCCATATTAGAACTTATATGCACAATCCGTTAATTATTCTTCCAAGCAAGTACCCCACAAGTTGGGTGTAGAGATGTTGATATTGCCAAATATAAAGGTGATGGGATGTTGGTATTGCCTCTGAGTCACCCCAACCAGAGGACTTATATGCGCAATATTCTACCGCCTAGACCTTCTGTGATGCTGCTGTCACACATAGTGCCTTTACTCCACAACCTGGTCTCCTTCTAGGAACTTCATATTCTGGTTTTGTACTGCACTTGAATTTTGCTACAGGGCTTCACATCTGATAATGGTACCTGTAGATTACAGAAACAAATTTTATTAAAATTTGCCTCCAGCCTAACTCAAACCATTAATCTAATCTGTGGGGTTTGAAAACTTAACCAGTAAGCTATAGGACCCAAACCCTTTCAATAGAATTTATTTATTATATACCAATATTTATTATATTATATACTTTAAAATATTTATTATATAATTTGAAGGTTGTGTAACTATATATATATATATATATAACCTTATATATAATGCAAGATATATCAAAAATAAATGTCTAATTTTTTATTATAATAATTTTATAATAACAATATAGTCAAAAATATACTAAAACTAGTATAGTAATATTATACAAAAAATATAAATATTTTAAAAATTTTTTCTTACCAATTTTATTATTAATATAAAAAAATTTTGCTAACTAATTTTTGAATAATTAGGGTAGTGACAGATATTACGTAATATTCTGAAGAGAAGTAGCTGAAGAGAATATTTTATATAGATATTTTATATATGATCATCAGTGTTGGGCAAATTAGTGGTTAACTAAAAATTTGCTGATCAAATTGGTCTGGTCAAATTGGTCAATTGGTCAAACTGGTCTAATTGGTCAAGTCTATTATATAAATATAATATATATATTGTATTATACAGTATACTAAATTATATTTAAATATTCTATTTGACCAATTTGACCAGTACAAATCTTTTTCACAGACCAGTCAAATTGGTTAAATTGGTTTGGTCCAATAGTTAAACTGGTCTGGTCAAGCCAATACTGATGATCATATATAACGTGAAGAGAGGAATACCTTCTGATAAAATGATATTTTATAATATATATCACAGCCCTTATTAAATTTTTGTATATAAAAAAAATTAAATTTTTAAATTTTTTAAATTTTTTATAAGTTTTAAAATATACTAAAACTAGTATAGTATTTAACAAAAGTTTCTTTGCACCTGTAACTCAGCACAGAGATATGGTAGAGAAATTTTTTTTTTATTTAAAAGTGTATTATATTATATGAAATTAATACATAGTATAATTGCTCTTAAATTCAATTAAGGTCTCTACATAATACCTTATACTTCTTACCAAATTAGCCATATACTTTTTAGATAATTTATTTTATTCTTTTGTTATTTTCCCTTCAAACTACCAAATTTTCTAGTTTTTTTTTTTGCTAGATTTATTTTTATAAATTCTTAGATATTCTTAATCAGGTTTTGGTTAAGTGATATCGATGACTAAGAGAAAACTTTGATAGTATTTTTCTTCCTTTATATTTTCGTGATTTTTGAACTATGTTTTGGGTTTTTGTCTTTTTGTAGAATTCAACTATTATAATCTTCACCAAAAAGGTCTATAGTAGAAGACAAAAAGGCTGTTTCATACAGAATAATTATATATTACATATTAAGATTATATGTAAAGCAGACCAATCTTCTAAAGCCAGAAAAAAAAACTACCTTTATATATAAACCTTCAACAGATACTTAAAAAACAGGATATTTTTCTTGTCCAATGAACTGCCAAGCCTTTTTTAATTATTGATTCTAACAAAAAATACTTTGTTAGTAAATATCATAGAATTTCAATCAAAATCTTTATGTTTCTTTATCCACAAGAGCCTTTTTTTTTATACTTCTCTTTGAGCAAAGACTTTACGAGTTTTCATAATAACAAGCTCTACTTTTACCAAGATACCATTGAATAGTATGCACATTAATGTTTATATTCTGTTTTAAAAACTTATAATAGATTTCTGGTACTGAAATATCTATGTTCTCTTTTGCTAACTTCAAAATTCAGTTGTCTTGTTTTTTGATAATGACTCTTTGATGACCCAACCTTGGTTTGTTACTTAGATTTTTGTTTTCTTGCTATTTTTTTACTTCTTCTTGTCTTATATATTGAAAGCTTGAGACCCTTTAGATGGATAGTTAAAAAGACGATTTCATATTGCTTATATAAAAAAAAAAATATTTTTTTGATTAAAACTTTGTGTATAAGCAGTATAAATATTTTTGCTAAATATACTGCCCAAAGAAGTTTAGTACAATCTGCATATATGATATACTATACCTGTATGAAATTTTATACTTTTATACATGAACATTCAGAAATTACAGATATGAGAAAACTTTTGTAGAATACTGTATTAAACCAAAAATCCAAACCATTAATATAAAAATAATTAAAATTAGAAACTATTAAATCTTTATAAAAATTATATTTTTTAAGGCCTAACTAGCAATTTGATAAAGCTTGTTTTGAAAAACAAAATTACTAGTTAGTTTTTTAAATTTTTAATTTTTTAGAGTTAATAGATTTTTTAAGTTAAAATTTTTTGCATCATAGTAAAAAAATTTTTTTATATTAGAGGATCGTCTAAAGCCAGGTATTAATTAATTTAGAAACTACCTTGACGACCTCTACATTAGGGGTAAGAGTACTCTAAAGTGTATAAATTCAATTGTATAAAATTGACTAATCACGAGAAAGTTAGCCTATATATGGCGCATATCAAGACCCACATTTCTAATTAATTTTTTTGGTGGAATGTAAAAGACCCGGGTCTTTTACATGCACTTTTACGGTAACCTATAACCTTATTCTAAACGCTAACGCTAACATTAATGATCTTTGAAGAATTTTTGCTGCGCCACAAACCTGCCACACATTTCTGACTTGGGCTAGATACTTTAAATTACTTCATCTTAAAAAATATAAGTGTTCATGGGCATGTAATATATAAAATACAGTTTTTAGCTAGAACTTGCAAAGTTATAACCTTTATACCCTACTTCTATTTAGCACTAGTGTACTTTTTTATTTACCTGACCAAGAACAAATCGATCATATGTCCGAAAAGATCATTCTTGATCAAATGATATAACGACAACAGATAAATATGCGCAGTTTCGAATACTCGTCAGCAAATTATATTCATTTATTGAAAAAAAAAGGTTATTTAATTGCTACTTCTACGCACTCGAGAAATCTTTAATTCTCGGTACAAAAAAATAAAAAAAATAAAAAATAAAATAAATGGCTATTTACATGTTTAAAGTTATTATGTTAAAGGCAGTGGTGCAACAAAATGAAATAGAATAAAATAAAATAAAATTTTATATTTCCACAAAATAATTATTACTCAGAACTTCAATGACAACGTCATCATGTTAGTTATGTCAATAGTACACATTAAGCAGTGTTGAGTAAAGAGACCAACATAGCTCTCTGTTCACTCCCTTCGCATGGGGAATATCCTTGCCTTGGTGCCATTGTCGGACCACTACGCATTACTCGCGGTGAAATACCTTTCAATTTATTCGTAAGCAATTGTGAGCCTGCACGATAATCTTCAGTAGTGGCACTGTTTTTATCAGAGACGCCTATTTCTTGAGTTTCCGATGAAATTTGTTTTGCATCATCTGAAATTACGATAGGGTTGTTTTGACTAGAGGCATTAGTTGCCGAAGTATTTTGAATGCTGATAGTCGAGCCATCAGGTGCAGAGCGGTTAAGAATACTATTAGAGTTAGGTTGTTGCTTCTTATTCGATTGTTGTACTTCCTGGTCGACTGAAAATGGGCGTTTTTTTGTAGGGATCGATGAGCTACCAGAAGCACCTGAGCTATCATTAGGATGCTTCGGCGCCGCTGGAAGTTTCAAGTCTGATGAATTTAGGCGTGGTCTGATCAGACTATCTACGTTTGGATGTTGAGGTTGTTGCGGATGAACATTTGGGTGAAAGTTCATTAATCCAGAAGTATCTTCAATACCTCTTCTACGACTTTCCACGAAAACAAAATATTTTCGAAATTGTTGTAATAAATTTTCAACAAGGTCTAGTTTGAGTAGAAACTTTCCAGATGGTAGAGCGTTTAATTGATCTTCTATCATGTATTTCATCCCCAATAAGCGGTATGTCCCCTGACTTGATCTTGTATAATGCCAAAAGTATGGCAATACTTCATCAACTTTTTTGTACATTGGAGTCAATTCTTGTAACTTGATCCTTATTTGTCTTTTTTCATCTTCAGAAAGGTCAATTTCATGATATTGAATATTTTTTTCTCTAGCTTTACTATCTATTTGATTTATCATAGCTAATGCTTCTTTCTCCTCCTTCTCGGTCAACGTTGCTAGTGATCCAGATTGTGCTGCAGAACTGTTTACAATAGACATCTGAGCATTAGGGCGCATAATTGGAAATTTCGGACGAACAGTGTTCATATTAAGAGGTTGAGTCATTGAAGGTCTTGTCGCATTTGCGAACATAGCATTTTGAGCGGTCATCATTGCTGCTGCTTTGGCACCATTGGAAGCAACTATTCCTTGATTAGCGGTATTGTTATTATTAACAGCCAACATAATTGCGTTTGTATTTGCAGCGCTGTTAGCTGTCGTGTGCATCATTATATTCGGACGTGCATTTGCACCTTGAAAACCAGGCATTAACCCGAGATTTGTATTAATACCAACGCCTGAAGGAACTTTAATTCCAAGATTAGGTGCAACATTGGCATTTTGAATAGCCGAACTTACGAGCTTATTTTGAGGTATTTTGAGTTGTGGCGTTGCTAAATTTGCTGCCGCTAATTTAGCTGAAGCAGCACTAGGAGACATATTTGGAGTCGTTTTATTTGACATTGTTACAGGTGATGCATTTACTATCGCAGGAGATTGATTAGGTGTGGTTCCAAGTGAATTAGTTATAGAAGGACCCGTATTTGGCATCATGAACATAGTTCTAGGGCTTTGAGACGGTGCTTGTCCTTTCATCTGATTAGCAGGCGATTGAATTGTCACATTATTAGGCAATTTCATAGAAGGACCAGCGACGTTAGAGACAGGTTGTGGGTTAACTTTCGCAGGTGATTGTATAGTGATATCTTGTTGAACATTCGGCTGTTGTGCAGCTTGCTGCTGTTGTTGCTGCATCACTGTCATGTAAACACTAAGTCTTTTCAAGACGTCCGGTGTTAACTGCTGGTCTGGAGGGAATCCTAAGTTAGTTAAAACTTGCTGTTGTAAAAGATTTGGTCGATGAGTTCCTGGTTGGGTAGGTTTTGGAGAAGATGGAACCTGAGATGCGGTTGGTCGAATAAAATTATTCGATTGTGCTTGTACTGCTGCAATTTGCTGAGGCGTCGCTTGCAACTGTTGTTGCGGTTGCTGAGATTGCCTTTGCAATTGTTGCTGTTGCTGTTGCATTCTTCGGATTTGATCTTGTTGCAAAGCGGGGTTTTGTAACAATTGTTGATATATTTGTTGCTGTCTCGCCGTTTGTTGCGCATTAATCTGTTGTTGTTGCAACAACTGAAATAATTGTTGCTGTTGCTGTGGTCGTTGCAACAATTGTTGTTGAACAGCCGCTGCGACCTGACGTTGCTGCAATAAGAATCTCTGGGCTTGCGCTTGCTGCTGCTGTGGAGAAGGAACAGGTTGTTGCTGTTGAAGAGTCTGTGTTAGCATTTGTTGCTGTAATTGCTGTGGTTGTGAATTTTGTAATTGTTGAGGTAG